ATAACACTGGTCTCATTGGCGTATTAATTTTACGTTTATGGATCTTCGGCAATCCATACAGTCTGGCAGGATTAGATCCAGAGGGTCTCGCCTGGTGGTCAAAGTCTTTACTTATTACACCTTCTTTTCGAAGTCTTCGAAGTAAATAGGTTAGATTGTTCTCTGGTTTTTAATCGTTGGATCATCAAATAACTATATGAATTTCGATTGAACATTGAGGATCTCATACATTTTCCGTATATAATCTGATCTGCCCATCACAACAACTCCCCTACCCTTATCAGGTCTGAGAATGACTATAGATAGATCCGAACGTAAATTACGTAAGATTTGATGATATTTCTTATAGTACGTATTTTTCTTCATTTCATTACGTTCAAATCGAGTTGTCTGCGAGTTGAAACTCTCAGTCAAATATCGAAATTTGCTAGCCAAATTCATTTCTTTTCGGAGTAAGAATTCTAATTTCTTCTTTTGGTTTTACTGCACTGTCATATAAGTCCAATATTAGTTCTTTATGGTATCAGCGGTTTTATGAAGGAACTGTTCGACATTACTTATAACATTAACGGAATCTAATCGTTTAGGTCATAGTCCAAATTCTAAACTGTTCGCTAGGCAATGCATTTCTTCATCGGTTAGAACTCTATCTGAAAGATTAGTTATCACAGATCTGAACTGAAGAAGGTCTGAAAGAGGTCTGTACACTAGCTTTTATTACCCCATTTCATGTGCAATGTAAAAATTTATTTGTTTATAATATCTTCTTATTTGTTGTATTGTCTCTCCTTCTGTGATAAACCTATTTTCTTTTTGTGAAATTATAATCTGTATTCACGCCTTCATAATGATGACTAAGTCGTCGAAACGTTGACAAATAAATCCCTAGAACGGGAATTCAGTCTTTAGCTGCTGTTAAATCAGTTATCTTCATTTTGAAAAGAAATCGAACGAAGTGCTGCAATTAGCTGGACAGGCACGTGAGCAACAAAAACAACAGTCAGCAAATATACATAATTGCGGACAATGATTTACAGTTAGCCCACGAGGTTGTCAGCAATCAACTGGAAATCGCAGCTGTAGAAAAAGTCGCTCAACCAAATTCGTTTCACGATAAATTTCAGAATAGTGTTTTTAAATCTGATTGACATCGTTAAACGACTCAGTTCTGATGTACAAATTCGTTCGATTCCCGCAATCAACAATGAATTTAATTTTGACTTTCTTTCGCAAGACGAACAATTCGCCTTATTTAAAAACTTTGACCTAAAGTTAAAATGCTCCATTTATCAATCTCCATTTTAATGAAAAAGCTGATAAATGAACAAACAGTCGATTGTTTTAGAGAAGAGATACTTCAAGCGTTGAATGAGACTAATGAATACGATGCGACGATTGCTGGTACCTTAATCGTCAACACAATTATGAAAATTCCAGCTGATTCTAATTCGAATCATTTTCTCGTATACGAAGTAAGTTACACACTCCTGTTTTTTTTTATCGGCGATGATGCATACAATACCATAAATGTCCCCGATTCAGGGAGATAAACGTTGATCACCAAAAGTATATCGAATTTTATTCGGAAGATTTAGCATCTTATTCGTTTATTAAAAATTTCCTGTGATGTAGAGAAATTCCGCCAATTCTGGATAACTGGTAAAACTTATGCATGAAGCAAATGCAAACCAAACAGTAATCATGAGCACTGCGAATATGCAAAAGTATCGGTAGATACTTTTCGAGTGTTAAAAGTGGCCCAAAACAAATGGATGTTAAATTCATGTAGTTCAATAACTTGTACTGAATACGGCCGATAATATCGTCACACAAAAGTAATAAAACCGCTTGGTTTGTTTTCGTTAGAATGCAATCGTACATTAAAGTGTGATCTTTTCGATGGAATCCGAAAAGCACTCATACCTGTCCAAAAATATAATACAAATATTATCAAAAGGCTACATCGTTCGACACGATGATCCATTGTTGAATACAGCATTATATAAAATTCGAAATTATAGCCATCATATTGATGCGAAACGGATGGGACTATTGCTTACTCAAATGGAAAATGAGTCCCAGTAGACGATCCTCCGATTTAATTATGGGATCAGTATCTAGTAATTGAAAAGTACGTTGGTCATTGATAATTAAATTCATCTTTTCAACGTAATCTTCACGGTCAAGGATAACAACAGCTCTTCCTTTGTCGGCTCTGGTGATGTAGATCGATTTACCTTTCGATAGATTGCAAAGCGTACATACGATTTTGGCTCCGTTTATTCCGTGCTTTGTTAAGATTGTTTGTGCCTGATGTCTAAAGTTGTCACTTACACGACGTATTTTATTGGCGTGTTCCAGTTGTTTAGATGTTAATTTAAATTCAATTGATTCATCTGACTCCTTTTCCTCATACTAACGATGATCTGTACAATATCTCAAAAGATTAACAAAATAACATTCAGTGTTGAATATGAAGGTCTCGTCATCGAATTTAGTGGATGGATAGACGTAGTCAAAGCCGTTAGATAAAACAAATATCTCATCGTCCATTAACTTCCGTTTTGAAAAGTTTTGAACTGGACTTTTTGGATAACCACCCGACGTAGAAGAGGTTGATGCACATATCGGAGACATTTGATCACGCTGAAGAGAATTTAGTTTTTTCTGATGAGTGTCAAACCATGAAATATGTCGCTGTTTAACAAGACGTTCGATGATAGATAGAACGCGACTGTAGACAAGACTATCGACGTGCGCGCTTCCTTCTACCTTGAGACGCTTAGAGAACCGGTATGATTGAGATCACATACGTTTCGTCACTCTGATTTCATTTTTTAGAATTTCATAGTAGTATTTATTGATAGCAGAGTAATGACGATCAAATGTAGAGGATAAACATCCAATTGAGATATGAGCAAAATACTTAGTGTGTTTTCTTTGACGTTGAAAAACGATGAGTGACGTTGAATAATTGACGATGGAACAAAGAGAGGGTCGTACCCTGCAAGACGAAGAAACATTAACTAATATAGCTATTTTTTCATTATGTGTGCTCGCACATATAGAGCTAAATTTATCATAATATAGTCAAGTATCATTCACCAAATTATATATATTCAAACTCTTCTCCGCTTTTACTCTTTCTAAATTATTCGATGTGCAAATTTGTGAATAAATAAAGAAATATATTCAATGTCCATCCAGATAATGATTCTATTTTCATGGGTTGCAAAGTCTACTAGATTAAAGCTTCGCATTATTTAATCTACATTCTTTTACTTTATAGTATATGAATAAAATGTTTATATTTTTTGTAGAAAATTCCACTCAACATCTTTTGAAATAAAGCCAAGCTTAGAGGATAAACATCCAACTGAGATATGAGCAAGATACTCAGTGGTCGATTTATTCTGGACCACGTCTTATTAATAATGTTGCCGTAAACATTTTTTGTTTAAATTTTTTCGAAGATCAGCTTTGTGGAATTTCAAATTAATATTCGGATTGAAATCCTGTACTGTTACAAGGGTTTAACCGTAACTGCAATTGGTTGAAGCTTTCACCGGTTGTCCTCAAAAACAGGATGGAAGTTTTTCTCAGCAAGCAGAAGCGGTATCATATAAATTTAGCACGATAAAATGTGGCAAACAAGCGTTTTTTTCTTACCAAAAGACGACTGTCTGATTTTTAAAGGAGCCACGACTTGATCGCTTGAAAAACTTCTAGTCGGCCAGCTTCTTTGGTTCCTCGGTTCATATGACGCAGCATTGTATAACTTCCGATAACAAGTCTTGTGAATCGATGTATTTAGCAGCGACATACCTAACTGTAAACCATACAGTTTTAAATATCCCCTCTGTAATTTTTCATCAACGTCCCTGCACTGGATTGTGGTTGAAATATCTCGTTTTAAAAATGTTTTTAGGTTACATATACAACATGTTCGTCGCTCTCAAACGCTTTATCACTAGTCCTACGATAGTACAAGATTTTTTAGCACAAAGATTCCGAGATCACGAATGTCTACAAACATACTCAGTTTCTTGGTTAGCTTTGTTATAAAGTTCAACAACATCGTATCTTATATTATCATGATTATTTTTCCATAAGGCTTTCAACCAAGAACACTGAATGAACTAAGGCAAGTTCAAAGATTTTGCTATACTTCTGAAGTTTAATTCATCCAATCTATCTAGTGTTCCTAAATCACTATCATTTAACGCCTTCAGAAATACGTTTACCAGAATTGCACGCTGTATTTTTGGTGAGGACATGTTACTAGATTCTTATTTCTAACAATGCATCATTGAGTAACTTAACTTTTATCTTTTGAATATTTAACATTTCTGATATGTACAGTAAAACGCAATTTAAACAATACTATCATCTCTTCTCTTGCTCACTATCATAAATCACCTTCACATATCAGCCACAAACCTGTGTCCGTTTTTTCGTCCTCTCCGATCGACGAGAAAAAGTGGAACATATTCTTTCAAGCAGGACTGGGCGAGTCAAGCTATTTTGCGAGTCGAGTCAATATTATTTTCGTTTCGTTAACTACAATTTTTCGATATTCGTTATCTACTTCTTAAATTATTATTAAATTAATAAATTAAATATATTAGTTAAATTTAAATTTATATTAATCAAAACGTCAAAGATAAAAGTTAAGTTACTCAATGATGTATTGTTAGAAATAAGAATCTAGTAATATGTCCTCACCAGAAATACGGCGTGCCATTCTGGTAAACGTATTTTCATTCATCATTAATTTTCGTCTCAGTAAACGTCAACAACAAGAGAATGAAAGTAATGATAGACGCCGGAGCAACAAATACAATTATCACAGAAAATGCATTAAGAAAAACAAAACACCAAAAGTTCGACAGTACAACAAACCCGATATTAGCCATGGCAGACGGAACATCCAATTCAAAGGTTCTTGGCATGGTAAATTTGCATATTAAAGTTAATCATATGATAACAACCATAAAGGCGACGGTGGTGAGAAGTTTATTTACAGATTGTATTATTGGAACGGATTATATTAAGAAATATGGTTTGAAAGCTGATGCAGGCTAGGAAACCGTTACAATTTGTAAACAGAAACAAAGAACAACAATCCCAATGGTTAAACAAGACCAGCCCCTCTATGTGCCATTGAGATTAAAGCAGACCACCAAAATACCCTCTCAACAGCACGTTACAGTTATTATATCGACGTGCGTTTCAGCAGCGAGTGCTCTTTAGGCCGTCATACAATCTAAAGCAGCAGATTCCAATATTTATGGCTAATAACCTGTTGCTCATTAAGGGACATCAAGCTGAAATCTCGATTCACAATCCAACAAGTTATCCATGCTTTTTGAAGAAAGGTATAATTCTTGATTATAGTCATTTATTTGATACATCCAAAATCACAGTTTCAAAAACGGAAGTATCTCATGTCATTAACACAAAACCACATTCTCCACCATGTTCGAAATGTTATCCAATGAGTAAACAGAAAGAAGATGCCTTGTATGATATTCTTATGGAATTAATGAATGCTGGTTTTATTTCAAAAGCTAAATCACCGTATGCGGCTCCTGCATTATTAACACCGAAGTCAGATGGCAGTTGGAGATTTGTGATGGATTATAAGAAGCTAAATAATGTTACAATTAGAGATTCATTCCCATTGCCAAACATGGAACAAACTTTACAACGATTGGGCGAAGGATATCATTTTTTTACAAAGTTAGACTTGAAAAGCGGATTTTGGCAGATTCCTCTCAAGAGCGAAGATCGATTTAAGACAGCATTTATTACTCCGTTCGGTTTATATTTTAATTCAACGTCCTTCCTCAAGGTTTAACGAATTCACCACCAACTTTTCAACGCGTTATGTCAACAGTATTGCAATCATGCCGTCAATTTTGTCCAGTTTATTTGGACGATATTATTATATTCTCAAGTACAGTGGAAGAACATTTAGATCATTTACAGAAAGTTTTAGAATGTTTAAATCGCAACAATTTGAAACTGGATCCACTAAAATGTTCAATAGTACAATCAAAAATTAATTATCTTGATCACACAATTACAGCATCAGTGATTATCCCGTGGAACGATAAGATTAATGCTATATTGAAATTAAAAGAGCCACGAACATTAAAACAAGCAAATCACTTTATTGGTGCCTTGTCTTGGTATCGTAAATTTATCCCGAGATTTGCTGAAGTTGCCGCTTCAATTCATGCAATTACAAATCTGACTAAGAAGAATCATCACAAATTTAAATGGAATCAGAAACAGTCTCAGGCATTTTATGAATTAAAGAAAATGTTAACAACGGCTCGACTATTATTACAATTTCCTGATGACTCCAAACCCTTAATTTTAGCGACCGATGCTTCCAACCTAGGTGTCGGTGGAGTGTTACACCAGGAAATTAATGGCGAAAGGAAAAATATTTATTATCATTCACAACTGATTTCCGAGTCTGAAAAGAATTACTACACAATCGAAGATCAAGCGATGTTTCAAGAGGATGAGATCGTATATTCTTGGAAAAAACATAATCATATATACTGATCATTGTCCTTTTGTGCAATATGATGCAGCTCAAAGAACGTATGGTAAGATGAAGTTTAAATACTAGTGGCCAGACATGCAAAGAACAATCGAAGATTATGTTAATTCATGTTTGGTATGTAAACAACACAATCACAATCGATAAAAACTACATGGGCATCTACATCCAATTCCACCTCCTTCCGGACCCTTCCAAGTCGTTGAAATAGACTATTGTGGTCCGTTTATGACAACGCCGAATGAAAATAAGTATGTATTATGTATTACGGATCACTTTACAAGATGAGTTACGGCTGTAGCCCTTCCGGATAGTAGTACACAAAAAACTGCACAAGCGACTTTTAATGAATATATACGTAAATATGGAGTACCGACAACGATAGTATCAGATTGTGG